ATTAAATAAAAATATAAATATAGACATATAAAATCCATTGCATTAATTTATAGCAGAGTTTATAAGATTAAACTATATGCTTGGAAATATCATTAATAGAATAACATACCCTCCTGAACATGTCATCATGTCAGCCTCTCTGTCATTATAAAATGGAGTGTCTGTCTCCAAATCTCTCCTCTCTGTGTTAATATTTAAAAGGTACACATATTTGTACCTTAGGTGTCATTTTAGGGTTACCGTAGTTCATATATGAAAAAGTAACTTCTTTTACTTTTATTCATTTTAGGACCTCCCTTAACTTGGCAAAAATATAAGGCCATAACTAAAGGGTGTACATGTCATGGAAAATTCAATGACTTAAGACAAGATGGCATCTTAAAGTCTGAACATCTTTATCTTTTTAGGGTTACTGCAGTATATTATGTACTGAAAGAGTCGTAACCTAACCTTGAAGCTTGTTTATGCATTATTGTTATTGTATTTCGTATGGGACAAAATGGCGTAAACATATGATGCACTGAAAGTAGATAACTTTTGAAAACATCATAAAACCTGTACATGGGGGGTACTGTTATATTCAGGAGACTTTGCCAAACACAAATATTAGTGTTTCAAAATAGTAAAACGCATCACAACAATTATATTGTCAGTGAAAGTACCGTTTGTGTGTGAAAAATGCAAAAAAACTGCATTTTTACTGGCAATATCGTTGTAATATGTTTTACTGTTTTTAAACACAAATATTTGTGTTCAGCGAAGTCTCCCGAATAAAACAGTACCCCCATGTACAGGTTTTATGATGTCCTGGAAAGTTACAGGGTTAAATATAGGGCTTGCGAGCCAAGTTCTCTGGACTTTCTGCCTGGGTTGTCGGGTAGGTCCCTCAGATTGTAATTAATAAAATGGCTTCGGGGGCTGGGCCTGATTGCCAAGATGGCCGGGCGTGATTTTTGAAAGCTCCAGCACCAGCAGACACAATCCCACTAATCCTGTCCAAACAACAGAAGCCAGAAACTTAAGGAGCTTGGAAGGTGACATAGGACCTAGCAGGGAACAAAATGATACCTGTCCCATGCCGATCCGCACTACAAAAGCCTGAACCGGCCATGTGGCCTAAAACGAAGCGGTGCCTGCAGCATGTGGGAGGCGGCTGATCACCTGGCAAGGGACCCGCTCACAAACGAGAAGCACACAATGCCCTGTTGGCCCCCCCGGACCGGCGGGGGTTATCCCGGTCCTCGCTGGGGACGATCACCCCCAATCAAGCGACAAAGCACACAGACAGGCAGAAATGCCAGGGCCTAACCAAGATGGCGGCTGGGATGCGGCCCGTGAGGGGGAGAACCCACATTAAGCCACTGTAACGTCTTACCTTGGTTGGGGGTCTGTAGCGCAGATATATGCTCACCCTTGCAATTAAACACAGGCCAAGGTGGTCAGGTAAGAACTCACATGGCCTGTGAGTCTGTGCACGGGGGCTGTGCAGGTTAATGGTCCAAGTCGCAGTACAGAAAGGACATAAACAGGAGAATAGTCGTGGGTAAGCCGGAGGTCAGTGGGTGCTAGAAATCAGGATAGACAAGTAGAGAGCCGAGGTCAGAGGAAGCCAGAAGTCAGGATACACGAAATAACAATCCAAGGTCAGGAATCAACAGGAGAACACTGGAACACGAAACAGCAATACTTGAACCAGAGTCAATGAACTGACACTGCCCTACGGAAGAGGCAGTGTCTTATAACTGGCTAATTGGTGATCAGCCACAGGTGTGCTGAGCCAGGGCGGTCCCCTGACGGAGGAGAAATGGTTGGCAGACAAAACTGAAATACCCCCCGGGCACCAGCACCCGCTCACACAAACACCAATGGGGGACCACCCACCTCGCCGGACCCGCTCACCACCCTACGGCGTCTGAAACCACCGACCATCAGGCGGAACTCGCCACTTCCCAGGCTCACGCTCGGGAAGGTGGGAGCATTTGGAGCAGCGAACACCCCACATGGGCTTTGGAAAGGACCCAACGAGAGAGAACAGAAAAAGTCACTGCCCACCATGTTAACCGGGAGGCTACCATAACTCACCCCCCAAACGACACACAGAGATCAGCAGGGGCACTGGGACTGTACCCACAATGGGCTCACGCCCCCTGGCCCGAGCGGCACCCACACAACTCCAACGGCCCCACAGAGCGGGCGTCGGCTGATTGCAGACCACCCTGGGGACTAAGACCTACGTACCCCATATGAGCAAGGGGGAAGGTTTCCTGTGCTGCAACACGAACTCCCAATCCACTGATTTTTACCGACCTGCCGTCTCCTGCTTCACACCTCACAGGGACGACTGTCGCCATCACCTGCACGGCTGTTGTGCATAACCCTGGACTGCCGAGGACTCTTTCTCATGCAGATAAGAAAAGCTACCAGGGATTCTTATGTTAAATTTGTTACAATATGTTTTAAGTTGTTTAAACCCTGGTTACTGTATTACAACATTACCTAACAAGCGTTGACTTTGGTGAAAGCTTGAAAGTTAGTCATGGTCAATATTAAGTTTAATATTTCAGCTAAGATAACTAACAGAAATGAATACGCTAAGTATATGCCTCAATAATCTTAACCTTGTCTAGTAAATCTGTCTCCGTGCTAATGCACACTAAGCGAGGTCTCTATCATTACCTGTAATATGCCTGTCTCTACAGCATAAGCCCAGTTTGCTAGCATATACACTAAAATCGTACTTCTTACATGGAAATAATCTATCCAGTTCTAGCATGTTACTAATTACCACAGTTAACGCATGAACCAAACATGTTTGGATAACATATATACCTACATGTAAATTGATACTTTAATGCTAGGTTTCTTAAGCCCGATAAAATAAAAGATTGTGCCAGTTAAGAATACACCCCACATGCTCGCGTCAGAAAAGCCTGAGGATTGCCTTCGGGGTACCTCAAGCCTGCCTGTAATATATGTGTGCACTCCAAAAATAAAGAATTTTTAAAAAAATTGCATGCCTTTTATTGTGTGTTCTGGATTGTGGGTTGGTTTCCATGCCAGCTCATTTTGACTGTTTTCTGACCTCCAGAACGGATTAATTGGTTTTCAATGCATTCCTATGGGAAACCGTTTTTCGGTTTACAAATTTTCCGCAATAAGTAACGTCCCGAAGAACGCATTAAATTCGTAAACTGAGGTCCCACTGTATATACAATTACTTTGTCCTAATATTGTTAGTTTTTACTGCAATAACATACACATATTTGTGTTCAGTGATGTCTCAAATATGTCTCAGTACTCCCCATGCACAGGTTTTATGGTGTTTTGGAAAGTTACAGGGTCAAATATAGGGCTTTTCCATTTTTGCACAATGAAAATTTGTCAGATTATTTTGCTGTGCCTATGTTGCCTTTGAGACCGTTTGGCAGCCCAGGAATTAAAATAACCTCATCAAAGCATACCATTTTCAAAAGTAGACAACTCAGGGTATTCAAATAGTGTATGTCCAGTCTGTTTTAGCAGCCACATAGTCACAAACCCTGGCCAAAGTTAGTGTTCATATTAGTTTTTTTTGCTTTTTTCAGAAAAAAACTGCCCTTTTACCGATGACATCATCAGTATTGTATGTTTTACTGTTCGCAAACACTCATTTGTCTTCAGTCATGTCTCATGAGTAAAACAGTAGCCCCCATACACAGGTTTTGTTTTTTGGAAAGACATAGGGTTAAACATAGGGATTTTCCATTTTTGCACATATGTATGGCAGCCCAGGAATGAAAATTACCCCATTCAAGGTACACCATTTGCAAAAGTAGATAACTAGGTTTGTCCAGATAGTAGCCACTTAGTCGCAAAGCCTGGCCAAAGTTAGCATTCATATTTGTTGGGTTTTTTTGCATAAAAAAAATGCCCTTTCACCAAAGACATCATCAGCATTATAAGTTTTACTGCTCTAAAACATCTTGCACAGGTTTTATGGTGTTTTGGAAAGTTACAGGGTCAAATTTAAGGCTTACCCATCTAAATGTTTACACATTAAATTTTGCCAGATTGGTTATGTTGTCTTTGAGACCTTATGGCAGCCTAGGAATGAGAATTACCTCCATTTCATTGTTAGCGTATACATGGCGATCACATGGTCCAGGAAGGCTGGACTTGATGCAGCGGGACTGCCTGTCTTGTCAGACAATCCCCCCGACTGTAATTGACTCGGATCACAGCCGTAGGTAAGCTTGGGGAACTTCAAACCATTAGGGCGTTCCATGCCACCCAAACAGCGTTTAAGCAGCTTTGTTCAGGGCAGCATGGAACACCTTGATGGCATTAATCGGTTAAACTCCAACGTAGCATTTTTTTTTTTTTTAAAGATATGAGTGACACCTTAGAAAAAGTAACACTAATATCTAGGGTTAAATTTAGTATTTCTGTTAGGGTTAGAAAAATAATTGAATTAACTTTCTAACCCTTATTTTAACCCTAAATTGTTATTGGCAAAAATCAGCATTGTTTTATGAAAGATAGGTCATGAAAAACTAACTTAATTCAATTCTACATAAGTATATGTATAGACCAGGGTGTTGCAATGGATATGATCTACTTTTAATTTTGCCACGGTGTTTGAAAAGTTTCCTCACAAAATGAGTTCAAACTAAAATAAATTGGTCTAGATCAAAGGTACTCAAACCAGTGCTCATGGCCCAGCAACAATTACATGATTTTGCTATTACATGACGAAAAGTCATGATTTTATTAAAGACACGGAGGCGAGTATTGCATATCCCTTTCTTTATTGTCCACCAATAGCAGCAAAGAATACAAACAGAATGAAAAAAATAATGAACATGCAGTAACATAGGCCCCTCCCCACTCAGGTCCCAGTGTAACAGGCAGCACTTCCCTTCCATTTCCCTCTTTCTGAAGATGCCACCAAGGTAAAATGTCCAGAACGAGAGTAGTGTGAGAATAAAGTCCCAAGGCAATAACTTAAAACTGAAGAGGGTAGAACATCAATAACTGGAAAGCTTGACCATAGGAGTCATAGGACCATCGGATAACAGCGGGAGGAGTCCTTCTAAGCCGAACAACTGCTTGCCGTCTTGCCGGATTAAGCTGTGAAAACATAAAGGAACAGGAGCCGACAGGTTAAAGTCGATACTTGTAACTAGTTTCAAAAATAACCAACATATGCACAGTCCCACAAAACAACTGATATACCCAGCATTACTGAAACATCATTGTCTAAGTATGGCCCCACTTACCGTACCATACTGGTGTATTGTAGTATGAGTAATTCGGGGAGGGAAAATTATTATTATTACAACTGTGTAAGAACGAAAAAGGGTGGGACAATACTCGCCTCCGTGTCTTTAATAAAATCATGACTTTTCGTCATGTAATAGCAAAATCATGTAATTTTATAACAAGACACGGAGGCTCATATTGCAAGTTTAAAGCTGATCCATTACCGCAGCGAATGTATGTGGGGCCGGCCGAAAGTAAAATTCCCGGAATGTAGACTCCCTAGACCAGTCAGCCATCCTCATAATGTCCTTCAGGCGTGCGCCTGCCGACATCATAGAAGAGGCTGATGCCCCCCGGACCGAATGGGCGCCAAATATCGTGGTATCAATACCTGCTTGGGACAACAGCCATTTCACCCATTGTGACAAGGTAGTGCTAGAAACCGGGTGAAAAGGAGGACGGAAAGATAAAAACAACTGAGGAGAGACGGTAGAGCGATGTGGGTTGGTGCGAGTCTCGTATTCGCGAAGGCAGGCCACTGGGCATAGTGAAGGAGAGGTAGGGAAACTAGGGTAGGATACTGATTTGATGGAAGTCTTAGTCCGCCTGCTGATGTTGAAAGTTACCCCGTCCGGGGTATATGACTTGGCATCGAAGTCCAGTGCTCTGACATCCGAAACCCTCTTGCATGAGACGAGGCAGAGCAGGCAAACCAATTTGGCAGATAGCTGTTTGAGGGAGAGTCCTGAGTTAGCGGGCCAGGATGAGAGGAAAGCCAATACGACCGAGACGTCCCAGGTCGTGGAGTAGCGGGGCCTGGGTGGTCGTGAAAATCTAGAACCCTTGAGGAGTCGGCACACTAAGGGGTGCTGTCCCGCGGGGCAGCCATCAAAGCCTTGGTGAATCGCCGAGATAGCAGATCGTTAAAGGTTAATAGTCCTGTAAGCCTTTCCAGCCTCGAAGAGGGACGTCGGGAACTGCAGGACCATTGTTACAGAGACCGAAACGGGATCCGCGTTCCTAGCCATGCACCAGCCAGCCCAAGCTCGCCAAGCTGACCCATATGCCAGTCTAGTGCCGGGAGCCCATGCTGCTGGCAATAGGTGTCTAGTTGTGTCCGAAACTCCTTGGATTTCCCAGGGTCCCCGGAGATCCGCCATGCCAGGAGTGGGAGAGAGCCTTCTAACCGGAGAGGGTGATATCGTCCCATCGGGTCCTGCAGCAAGTTGTGGTGTCCCGGTAGTAGTCGGGGATAGTCTAAGGTCATCTCGAGCATTTGGGGGAACCACGACTGCGTTTCCCAAAATGGGGTGACCATGACCACTTCTGCCCGGTGTTTGCGGGTCTGTAGGAGTGAGCGCGGGATCATGGAAAATGGGGGAAAGGCATATAGGAGGCCTCCATTCCAGTCTTGTAGGAAGGCGTCCACTGCCTCCCCCATTGGATCTGGCCTCCAGCTGAAGAAGCGTGGGAGTTGGGCATTGAGCCGGGAAGCGAAAAGGTCTATGGTAAACGGTCCCCAGAGATACGATATATTGGAGAACACCTCCTTGGCCAATCTCCAGTCGCTGGTGTCTGAGAGATAACGTGAACCCCAGTCCGCCTGGACATTGTGCAGACCAGGTAGGTATTCCGCGTAGACCATCAGGTTCCGTTCCAGGCAAAATTCCCAAAACTCTTTCGCCAATCTGGCCAGGACTGCCGACTGTGTACCACCCAGGTGGTTGACATATCTCACCGCCGAAACATTGTCCATGCGGAGCCAAATACATGATAGGGCTCGGTCCCTGGCGAAGCTGCGAATGGCAAAGGAGCCTGCCAGGAGTTCCAGGGCGTTGATGTGCATTCGGGATTCAGATTCAGACCAACGGCCCCCTGTTGAGACTCCCTCGCAGTGGGCTCCCCAGCCGTGGAGACTCGCATCTGAGTCGATTGTGAATTCTGGCATTGAGCCGAAGATGGCTTTGCCATTCCATGCGGACAGGTTGAGAATCCACCATCGCAACTCGTCTTTCGTCTCGCTGTCCAATGATACCAGATCCACGTAGGATGTCCCGGATCTTAGGTGAGCGATCTTTAGGCGCTGTAGCGCTCGGTAGTGGAGTGGACCTGGGAACACGGCCTGTATCGAGGAGGCCAGCAGGCCTATGAGTCGTGCAAGTTGGCGTAAGGTGAGCTGGGGCCGGATGAGGGCCCTGCCTAACTCTTTGCGGATGGATCGAATTTTCAGCGTTGCTGCCCCCGAATCCACCAGGAATCCTAAGAATTCCATGCGAGTGGGGGGGGTCAGGCATGACTTCTCCCAGTTGATTATGAAACCTAAGTGTGAAAGGAGGTTTATGGCCAGCCGTAGATGTGTGAGGAGGGTGGAACGCTCCTGAGCCATGAGGAGAATATCGTCTAGGTAGACGATTAGTCAAACTCCTCGACTGCGTAGCCAGGCCATCACAGGCCGTAATAGCTTCGTGAAGCACCACGGTGCTGAGGAGAGGCCAAAGGGTAGGCAGATGAACCGCCATGTCTCGTGCCGCCAGTAAAAGCGTAGGAGGTCTCGAGATGCCGCCGCAATCGGCACTGTCAGGTAGGCGTCTTTTAGGCCTAGCTTCGCTAGCCAGTCTCCCTGGAGGAGATCTCTTAGTAGGTGAATACCTTCCATCTTGAAATGGCGGTACCTGACTATGGCATTGAGGGGGCGCAAATTTTATGACGGGTCTCAATTGGCCGCCCTTCTTTTCCACCAGGAAGATATTGCTTATGACACCTGCGGGGTTGAGGGGTGCTTGTTCTATAGCCCCTTTGATAAGGAGGGTTGAGAGTTCCTCGTCGATCCGTCTGCGATCCTGGAGGGAAAAGCAGATCGGTCGAGGAGGGGGAATGTGTATGAGATGATTGGTGAGTTCTATACAGAAACCCCGAATAGTGGTCAGTACCCAGGGGTCTGAAGTGATTTGTGACCAGGCTGGGAAAAAATGTTGGAGTCTGCCCCCTACGTAAGCCGGAGAAGAAATGTGTGGTATGAGGCAACTCACCATATGGTCGTCTTGAGCTTGGGTTACCCCGAAAGCCTCTGGATCGCCATGGACGTCCGCGGGATGGAAAAAATGTGGGGCGGGAGGTGGAATCCTGGTACTGGTTACGGTGCTGGAAGGAGCCTCTTCCCGTGCCACGGGATTGGGGGTAACTGCGGCCGGACAGATGGCTCCTGAATCTGCCGGCCTTGGTAGAGACCCACCCCTGGAATACTCGCCTCATGGAGGCTTGGGCCTTGTCTAGAGCCGTGAAAGCTCCAACGAAGTGCCCTAAATCTTTTATGAAGGAATCTCCGAAGAGAAGTCCTTGGGCGTCTTTAACCGCTTCCGTAAGGGCGAGGTTGGCCAGTTTGGGCTCAATTTTGAATAATATGGCCTTACGCCTTTCTATAGATAGGGAGGTATTTACACTCCCAGCAATGCATATTGCTCTCTGGACCCAACCTCTAAGGTCTTCAGGGTCAACCATGAGGTTTTCTGCTCTGGCGTCTTCCGCCAAGTCAAATAATTTGGCCAAGGGGCCGAATATGTCCAGGTGTTTGTCCTGGCAGGATTTCAATGCCGACTCCAGTCCTTTACGGGGATTACAGCCCATTTTAGTGAGGAACTGGGTCATCTTGGGGTGTACCTCCGGAGTGTCACAAACTTTGTTAGGCACCACAGGCCTAGGACACTCTGCCCTCAATTTGTTGCGGGCCGCTTTACATAAGGGTCTTCTGACCCAATTTTCCAGGTATGTGGCAACGTGGTCAGCCGGGAGCCACTCTGCCGACCTCGGATGGTGTAGATCATCCGGGTCGAAGAGTGGGACACCCGAAGGATCCACAAGGGTGGACCCCGCAGCCGCGGGGTTCCTGATCCCTATCTCGCCTCCGGGCATCTCTGCCTGAGCAGAGGAAAGGAGGTCAAGACCAGCATCAGTGGCATCCACATCAGAGTCAGTATCTGACTCGCTCTTAGCCTCCTCATTTGACCTGATTTCTGAGTCGGTGTCGCTCTCTATCTGTGCTCTGGCACATTTCCATAGCCGCGCCCGTTCTGCCTGGCGCAGAAAGGCTCTTTTGCGTGGATGGGACACGCTTTCTGGGGCGACCGAAGGTACGCCAGTCATGGTGTTTCTGGAGGCAGAGGGATGCTTGGACTTACGGGTAGCCTTTTTAAACACCTCTCCCTGGGGTTTCATGGAGGGACGCGGTAAAGGCGTCGAGAAGCCCGAAAGTTGCTCGTCTGAAGGACATGGCAAGAGGGCCTGTGAAATGGTGTGGGAGAGGGTGGAGGACATAGACCCCATGGCCGCCATAATGGCGTCTGTCACTGAGCGCTGCAGCGCTAGGAACTGTGCCCCATCAGGGTGGGTAGTTCCATCAGCCATAGTAGGCGAGTTGTCTGAGGTGACAGGAACCTCACTCCTAATGAGTGGGGTATCAGACTCCCCAGAGGGAGTGGGCCCAGCGGATAGTCTGGGTTTAGGCATGCTGAGAAAATTAGCAGGGAATAGGTAAGAGAAAAGGTATGGGTTAGTCACCCAAACAGCTAGACAAAGCTAAAAACGCTCTCACCAGGGCCCAAACCAGTGACACACTAAGATGTAGGAGACAGGAAGTCTGAAAATGGCCACCGGTAATCTCGCGGGATTCGCGAGATTCGCGGTAAAACTACCGAACGTTCGGTAAAATAAGGTGAATTCGGGAACCAGAAAGGTAAGTATATGGGAATATAGAATAGGCGAACGTACCGTTCGCATAAAAAATTCGAATGCGGCAAACATGCAAACGCTCTTTTCGCTGAATGGGGAATGAGATGTGTGTGCGGCGAATCAATTCGCACGCATACACGGCCGGGGAGAGAAGGTGCGCAAAATGGCGCCAGGGCAAAAAGACAGACAGGAGACAAGACTACATAGACAGGGGAGGTCTGGGCCCTGAGACTAACAGAAAAACAGATAAAGACATAGATGAGACAAAATACTAAATAATTGTAATACAAAATGAAAATGAAATAAATATAAATAAAATGAATAAATAAATATATAAATACAATAAATACAAATAAATGTAAGATAAATATGGTAGGAAAAACTATAGAATGCTACCAGGTTAAGTGGTAAGCAGACTGACAGAAAATATCAATGAGAAAAAAACAGTATAATAAGAGAATATGAAGAGAAAAAAATGACATGTACTTATCTTTGTGTCGGAGCAGCAAAGAAAGAGGGAAATGGAAGGGAAGTGCTGCCTGTTATACTGGGACCTGAGCGGGGAGGGGCCTATGTTACTGCATGTTCATTATTTTTTCATTCTGTTTGTATTCTTTGCTGCTATTGGTGGACAGTAAAGAAAGGGATATGCAATATGAGCCTCCGTGTCTTGTTATAAAATCAAAAATTTATGTAGTTTCCTCATTTATTGCAACAGAGATACTGAAAATAACCTGGACTGTCGCTGGGCCATGAGGATAGGTTGGGAACCACTGGTTTAGATGAAAAATCTTGTTCTTTGGTAGAACATTGACTTAAAGATAGAGTACAGAGAGTTGTCATAAATGGTAAATTTTCAAGCTGGACAAACATGGTAATTGGTGTCCCTCAGGGTTCTGTTCTAGAACAGCTTCTATTTAAAATATTTATAAATGATCTTGAAATAGGCATTGAAAGTCATGTTTCAGAGTTTGCAAATTACACAAAACTCTGCAAAGTAATACAATGTGAGCAGAATATTTTTTCAATGCAGAGGGATTTAGATAGATGGGGGCACTAAAATGGCAGATGAAACTTTTAATGTAGAAAAATCCGAGCAAAGAATGCATTAGCGATTTGTACCCTAATGGTACTGAATTAGGGATAACAACACACGAGAAGGATTTGGGAATCGTTATCGACAACAAATTAGGCAGCAAAGTGTAATGTCACTCAGCAGTTGCTACGGCCATAGGCGTGCGCAGCCTTTTGCATAAGGGTGTGCACCCTAAAGCACAAACACACACGCCATATATATATATATATATATATATATATATATATATATACACACACACACACACATATATATATACACACATACACTGATGTGTGTGTGTATGCGCTGTGTGTTTGTGAGGGTGTTGTGTGTGTGTGTAAGGGTGCTGTGTGTGAGGTTGCTGTAAGTGTGTGTATGTGTGTGTTTGTAAGGATGCTGTGTGTGTGAGGGTGCTGTTAGTATGTGTGTGTGCTGTGTGTAAGGATGATGTATGTGTGAGGGTGCTGTTAGTATGTGTGTGTGCTGTTAGTGTGTATTGTGTGGGGGCCGTTTAGTTAATAGCCCCCCTCCCTTCTTACCTTATCATACCTTTCATAAAAGGCAGATAAAATTATTTCTACCTGTAGCTGTGGGCAAGGATAAAACAGAGTTTCAAAAAAATTCTTAATTTTGTGTTATTCGGCCTTTTAACAATGAGGTCTATGTACTGTAAACAATCAGCTACCTTATCAGCCAATCAGCGTAGAAAGGCCTTCCTTCGTGGTAAATGTCTGAAGGAAAACTGAATACATAAAGGAACAACGTGTAGAGCAGACTCTCTGCTACAGTCTCACTTCTGTACTACACAGAAACAAATGATAGGAAATCTCTTAAGGACCACAATATGAGCTTTTTGTACATTACCACATCGTTGCTCTTTCTAAATATAGCAGTGTTTTCTTGAAATGTTTCCAAATCCTATACCATGCTGCTGCCATCCCTGGTGGTCCAGTGGTGAGTGAACTCTAGCCCCACAGGGTAACCGCAGCAACGCTCCGACCTCGCGAGAGGAACCTGGTGGAGCTGCTGGCAACTGCTCCCCGGGTCCTCTCCTGCCTCCCTCACTGCCTGTGGGTTGGTCTCCCTCACCAGCCCATGGAGGGAGGCACATAGTGCATGCTGCAGGGATTAGGGTGTGCCCAGGCACACCCCATGCGCACGCCTATGGCTACAGCCAGTGAGGTACTGTGCTCTACAAAAAGGGGCATTAATTCTCAGGATGAAAATATAATTTTGCCTCTTTATAAAACACTGGTAAGACCACACCTTGTATATGCTGTGTAATTTGGGGCACCTGTTCTAAAGAAGGATATTATGGATCCAGAAAACGTGCAGAGGTGGACTACAAAATTTTAATTAGTGTGGTAATAGCATCTTGAACCAAGGAGAGATGTGACTGCCATTCTGGGATCAAGAAGGATACCCCCCCCCTAGTTTGTTGCAAAACTGGAAAAGGCTTCTAACTAGTTTGTTTGGGATGGACAGCAATAGCACAGCTCAGAGTAACTGTAACACTAGTTACCGAACCTCACCAAGCAGCCCCTTCAGCCAGTCTGATCCCTAAGGAGGAGAACGCTAGCTAATTGCCGACCGGATTCTGGCTCTGACCGGATAACATACTGAGGAACGCATTGCTATGGAACACAGAATGCCGGCGTTCCAGTGTTCCATCCAATTCCCTAATCAGTAAAAAAAAAAAAAAAAAATCCCTCCCCTGGTAAGTAGAATTATTCGAGTGACGTAAAATCGGAACGTTAGCACTCCTAGTGGCGGGTTCTAGGTACTGTAGCCACGGCCGTTTCATGCGCAGCTACAGGCCCCTCCTCTTCCCCCGCTGTGTGGTGACCAGGGCCCTGGCAGCCATTCAGTGCGGCCACGTCCGCTTCCCCACACACCGGAAGCAGCCATTCCACTTCCTCTGCTGTCAGTCTATCACGCCCCGGCCCCGCCCACCCCGGAGTATACGTATCGTGCAGCCATTGAGTGCGGGGCCTAGATAGCAGCCGCCAACCCCCTCCCTCTCCTACACAGCTCGACGGATCGCACCCAGCATGACCTCCCTCCGCGGCCTGCTCCTGCTATTCCTGCTGGCCTTCCCGGTCACACTGCTCGAAAACGGCGCGGGTGAGAGCGGCTCAGGGACAGACAGACTGTGAGACAGACAGACTGTGAGAGCGGCACAAGGACAGACAGACTGTGAGACAGACAGACTGTGAGACAGACAGACTGTGAGACAGACAGACTGTGAGACAGACAGACTGTGAGAGCGGCACAAGGACAGAAAGACTGTGAGACAGACAGACTGCCTGTGAGACAGGCACAGGGACAGACAGACTGCCTGTGAGAGAGACAGAGAGTGAGAGCGGCTCAGAGACCGAGTGTGTGTGTGTGTGTGTCTCTCCGGGCAGTGTGAGTGCACTCTCTCTGTGGGCGCTGCGGTATGAAGGCCGGTCCTGTCACTCCAGGCGCTATGTACTAACAGTCCCCAGCCCAGATGGCTAGCACGCTGGGCATCATGGGAGTCATAGTCCTGAGGAGCCGGAGAGCTAAATACTGCTCCTAATTGCTCTGTTACACCGTGCTGGATTCCTGGCTGTGTCTGCTCACACGGGATATTGTGTGTCTCTGTGTGCTCTGCGCTGTGTGTGTGTGTGTGTGTGTGTATATACATATACTCTGCCTTCTGTGTGTATACATATACTATGCACTCTGTGTGTATACTGTGTGTGTGTGTATACTATGCGCTGTGTGTCTGGCTGACGTGTCACTCTGCGCCTGCTGTCCATTCATTCCCTGGCTCCTCCTAGCTGACTGTATCCCCTACTACTAATGTATGGAGAGGCACACACTCTCACTTTTAAACATTATTTAGATATTTTTAGAAACCATGTTTTCAGAGCTACTGCCTGACCTTTTCACGTTAAACAAAAAGTAACAAAGTAAGGATTACTTTTTTTGTATATAAATACAGGTAAAATTGGTGAATGCGAAGTCTGTGCAACATTGATTTGGTGGGGCTTTTAGAGTTCATATTTAAGCAGATTTATTCTTCTCTGCATGTAAACGGTTTGATACAGGTACAACTGGAATAAGCTGTATGGGCCTATTTACAAGGACTTTATATTTTCTTTGAGTTATGTAGTTGCTCTTCATTTTTCTGTACTTTCAAATATTTCCTTTAGAAAATTGTTTGTTTTTTTGACATACCTATAAAGCTGACATGGAGATTAAGCTTAATATAGCCTTTTTTAGTAGGTTTTACATGGTTAGGTTTATTAATGTTTTTTTTTTATTGCAGTATGTTTCTCTGTAGGCAAACATCTCTTAATGGGGGTTATTTATGCCAGATAAAATTTGCATTTACAAGTGTAGTCACATCTTTGCCCTCCAAGGGACAATTTAAGCACTAAAAGCACTACATCTTATTGTTTAATGTCGTTTTTTTGTTTTTTGTTTTAATACAAGCCAAAGTGACCCCCCCCCCACTTCCCAGCTGCCATGTAAAGGGTTTAAAAAAAAAAATCTTTAAACACATGATTCCAGTGCCAAAGTTCCTCAGCACTGGATAGGACTCCTCTGTCAACGTCCATGCATTCCAGGATCCTAATGCACATGCGTGGCAACTGCTACATGCACACTAGTTCTTCCTAATAAGAAAGCATTGAATTAATTATTTTCTATAGGATTTTTCAAAATGCCTGACACCGTCATGCAGCGTTAAGAAAACATGGACACTGTACCCAGCACACCTCAATGAAATGAAGTTGTCTGGGTGCTTATATTCTATAAAACTGTTATAATGGGAGATGGCTAAATCTAAAACAAGCAAGGAACAGATATATAAAGATTTGTTGTGATACAGATGATGTAAATTCAACAATCTCCAAAGAAAGCTGAAAAATTTTATATTAATAGTTCAGATTGTATTGTCGTCTCCTAATTAATTTGTCCCTTTTTTTTTTATGCCTATATGTACAGGTCCTTTAGTTGCTGCACAGGATGCTACAGAGGATGAAGAAGCTATTGATGACTCTGTAGTTGAGGATGAGGATGATGAAGCTGAAGTGGAAGAAGATGAATCTACAGATTTGGTAAAAAGTTTTGTTTTTACATATTTTTTGTTTTAAAGCTTCCTTATATTCAAAATCATAATTTTGATGACTAGTTACTTGTAGGACCTAGAATGGAGTTTATTCAATTTTTCAATGCATCATTCATGTGATTCAATGGAAACAAAAAAGATGATAACCTTGTGACACTTTCTTTTTTTTTTTCTCTTATTTTAACCCCAAGGATGTACTTCTCATCTAGGGAGCTCACATCATTTCAATAAGTGTCTAATTGCTAAAGTTAAAGCGGCACTATCATGGCCAAATCCAGTTTTTGTCTTTTGTTTTAACCCCCCCTGCCGACTCCACTACATCTAATTGCCTGCCCCTAAGCCCCCATATTACCTACTTTTTAATATTTATTTTGATGCTCAGACCTAGGTCCTGGGCGCTGGCATCTTTGTATGGGCAGATTAAGTCCCTGTGGGACACGTCATATGCCCACACTAGATAGCGCTGTGAAATTTCCGCGCATGCCTAGATAACCACTTGGGCATTCGCTGTTATCCAAACTTCTGACGGGAATTTCATCTATTTATTCGTCAGAGAGACGAAGGAATGAATAGAAATTTCAGGCGATCGAACAAACCCCGAATATGTTCAGTTTATTACAAGGAGGAAGGAGCAAGGAGGACCAGCAGCTCCCTCCTTATAATATGTAAAAATAAAAGCGGCGGGAAGCTGTGCTCTTAGCCACTTCCTAAGCCTCCCTCACTCTATGGGGGTCAATATGACCCCCATTATAGCATAAGGGAGATTGAAATCTCCCGAATGCCACTACTCGCTATACTGCCAGTAGGGGCATGCCTACTAAACAGTGAGCAGCTCACAGTGACTGCTCACTGATGTAAGAATAAAGCTCCCCTCCAACAAATGGCCCCATGGTGGGGCATCTATTGAATAGCAGGGACTACTAGTCAACCAATAAGAGTGCTCTGATAGGTAAATAGTGAGCCTTACAGGTAACCAATCAGAGTGCTCAGAGTCAAATTGCAGGGCGTGGGAAGGTTTTATAAGCCTTTCCCCGCCATGCGAAACTTAGTCTGCGTGGTGCCGTCGCTGGATGAAGATGGATTTTTAAAAAAAATTTTGTTTGGGAGGGCTGGGGGGCGCTCGTTTTTTTTTTTTTTTTTTATAAGTTTGGGTATTATGGACTTTTATTTGGGGCTGAAAAATGTAAGCTTTTAGAATAGACATCAAATGGTAAGTATTTAGTTTTATTGTCTCCTCCCTCACTATTTTTAGGGTGAGTGGGTAGGTAGGACTTTATTTAAAGGGACACTCTAGTCACCCAGACCGCTTCAGCTCAATGAAGTGGTCTGGTTGCCAGGTCCCCCAGGTTTTAACTCTTCAGATGTATGTTTACATTGCAGGGTTACTCCAACTTCTAGTGGCTGTCTTCCTGACCGCCGCTAGAGGAGCTTCTGCGATGCTGGATGCGAAATTTGCAATTCGCATCCCGTGTGCAGAACGTCCATAGGAAAGCATTAACAAATGCTTTCCTATGGACTGTATGAATGCGTGCGTGGCTCTTGCCGCGCATGCGCATTCCGCTCCACTGGGGAGCTGATGGCGGGGGAGGAGAGGTCACAGATGCTGGATTAGTGTAGCTGAAGGGAGGGGGCCCTGAAGGTAGGGGGGGTTCCTAAGGATGCTATAGTGTCAGGAAAACTAGTTTGTTTTCCTGACACTATATAGTGATCCTTTTAAATTTTTTATTTTTTTTTATGGGTGGGAGGGTGACTAGGGCTTGGCCCCTAGTCACCCTAGCCCATGGACAATAGGTTCCCCCCCCATTTTCATTTAGGGCTCCCACCCGCCGCTAATGGGTGGGGGCAAAAGCGATTTATTCACCATACCTCTTTCCAAGCACGGCAATTTCTTTAGATTCGTGGGGGTTACCTTTCAATACCAAACTCCTGTCCATCCTCTGCTTCCCCTGTAATGCTTTGATTTGCCCTGCTTCGGAAATGTTCCCAAGGCAAAAGTAGTGACAGCACTTTGCTTTTGCTGCCGGCATTGGACTGGGGTACCTACACCTTTTGCCAGTGCTAGCAGAGCCAGCTAGGAAGTTTCCAAAGCAACAGCATTCAATGCGATGCTGTGGTTGCTATGCTTGGGAGAGCAGAAAGACCTCCTATGGGGGAGGTCTTATCTGCTGTTCCTTGTCAGTCAAATCATTGTCATAGAGACTGCTGAAGATTTGACTGAGAAGTGGAAGAAAAAGCTACATTTAGAGCGGTACTGTCATCCCCTCCTGAAAAATTACTAGTTTTCAAAGATAAACTCACTATGAAACACTAATTTTGACTGTGTTGGAATTTCCCTGAAATTGACTCCATTAAGACCAATACAGAGACTAAGTAAGGACTACTTTCTTTGTCTCTGTATTTTTTCTCTGCCTGACATTCTTACAATCAAGGTGGAGTTTCAGAGTCAATCCCAACCACTGTCACCAGCCCCGACCGCTGGAAGATCCACAGGTTTGTGGGATCCTTCATAGACGTCAATGCTGTATTCTTGCCAATGCACGAGAATACACCAGTGACGTGGCACCAAAGGGACCCTGCCGGATCAAGATGGCCGTGCCTATGAGCAACTGGTTCAAATAAGTAATCGCACTTTAACCTAATTATAAAAACTGTAATAATTACACTTGCAGGGTTAAGGGTGATGGGAGTTGGCACCCAGACTACTCCAATGGGCAGAAGTGGTCTGGGTGCCTGGAGTGTCCCTTTTAAATAGGTTTTTCTCCCAAACTATACATTTGCTAGTAAACCGTGTAGCACAATGTACACATGGAATTCCATGCATTATCCAAAGAGCATGAGTGAAAATACAAGTACATGTATCATTTTAATGCTCTCACTAGGACAGGGGTAATAAAAATAGCGTTTAGTAGTACTAAGGGAATACGAATCACTTATTTGTGTAACATGAGTCAAGCCAGATTGTAAGAAAGCTGCAAATTTGTATGTCATGACTGCTTCACTTTAATGTTTTTTGTTTTTTCTTCTTATGTACAATTTTTAGTTTTTCTTTTTTTACATTTCTCAATATCAACTGCATTTGTTTGCTGTCTACTATACTGTCAATGTTCATTCATGTGCCAGAAAAAGATTGTGGTGAGACCAAATGTGATAGAACTCACCACAGTGCAAATACAAAACTTTTATGCATCACCTGCATATCTCAAGTTGGACTTTGAGAAGTCCTTCTTTTATATAGAAACTCGAGAAATCATGGTTCCACAACTATTCCAGAGTTCCCAGCTTGACATGCATATGAGCACCAACTGGCATAGTGTTTCATATATTTATTTATTTTTGGTTATGCTAGAGTATCCTGGCCCCATTTCCCATTAATGGGACAAACCGTTTTACAATGGTTTGCCCTGTTATCTGGGTCTCCTATGGGCATCAAAGTATCTCTATGATTAGCGATGTGCAACCAAATCACGCTTTTATTCAGAGATTGAGTGTCAGCTGTGGATGCTTTCAGCCAATGAATGCAACTCTGTGCATAGAAATATGCACAGAATTGACATAAGCCAGCCCAGAATTGTTTCAAGCTGGCTAATGACCGATTTGAACCTGCCAGAAGTAGTATCAAAAGGTGTAAACTCTATGTGCAGCATTTCATAGTGACTTGCAGACTTCAGGCACCATTGACCACTTTAAATCAGTGAAGTAGTTATGGTGCTTTGAGTAACTCTTTAAGTTTTAATTATTGAAGGAAGTCTCCGTAGTGATATTCATTCTTTGGTTGGTTGTATGTTTCCCTTTTTATTTTATTTTTTATTTTTTAAACTCTAGATTTCTAGAGTATAATATAGTGCTGTAATTTTACAGAATGCTTTAAACTTAAGTTTACAGTGTCTAAGTATTCATTTTTTACATTGTTAGTCTAAAGAAATGTATAGTAAAAGATCTGCAGTTCTCCATTGTTTTAAACTGTGATTTGTTTTGGGGTTTTTTTCTGTCATGTTCGTATTAGGCAGAAGAAAAAGAGGATGAAGAAGACTTAAGTTCAGGCGAACCAAAAGCTTCCCCTAATGCCGATACAACTATTCTTTTTGTTAAAGGAGAAGGTGAGCTCTGTTTCCAGTATGGAGAAAAATAAATAAATAAATGTCATTATAAATGCTGTTTTTTATTTTTCAAAAATGTGTCACAATTGTTGACCAAAAATAGAATAATAACACTTGTGTTGATTTTACTGATCTGGTTTTAGGTTTAAGAAGCCATTCATTTTAGGTCCTGCCTTTTTATTGTTTTTTAAAAAATAAATAAAAATCATTCTTTGGTGTTTGGAATATTAATCCTCCTTTAGTTATGTGACTAGTACTCAATCGATCTTCACTTTGCACAGACTCTTCAAAATATACCACTTTGACCCACTTTTAGAAAAGAAAAAAAAAACTCAAACCTTCTGCTTAAAGGGGCACTCTGGTCACAAATACAACTTTAATGCAATTGATAGATTTTAGCCTCATTAATATTTTTTCATGCTCAAATCTTTATAGCTTTTGCATAAAAGTCAATAAATGTTTTGCAGAATGCTACACCATAAACTTGCCTCCTTAGCAATGTCCTCTCATGCCAGAAGGCTTCCTTATCAATGGTATGCACCCCGTCTCATCCCCAACACTGGATGAGCTGCTTTTAATACACAGCCTTACTGCAGACAGTCAGAGAAACTGCAAACAGGTAGCGATATCCTTACTACATGCCTCCCTGATGGTTCTCTCCTTCTGCTTCTTTTGTTGTTCAGCTCATTCAGTACTGTCAGTGGCTAAGCTACATGCATACTTTTTTGATAAGGTTTTTTCTGGAGTGAAGGGATGTTGCTAAAGAGGCAGTCTAATGGGGCAACATTCCCAAAAACATTTATTTTATGAAAAAAACTATGAATATTTGAGCATGCAAAATATAACATAATTAGGCCAATACCTATCAAATCCATTATAATATAGGTGCTCGGAGTGTCCCTTTAACTGTACGCAGGAACCATTCTGTAAAAACCACAGAAGAAACATCTGTAATGACTGATATGCCTGGGAAATCATGTAGTAAACTCTGTGCTCTTCACTGCTCAGCATAATTTCAAAAAAGTAGCTAGAAGACTTAATGGACAATCCTTGTTCGGTATGTTAATTGCTAAAACTTTTTTTTTTTTTTTTTGTTACAGCATTTGTTAGCATGAACTGTAACACTGCAAAACAGTTCAATAATGAAAGATCAAAGAAACTACTTGTCATGTCTTGTACATTATTTCACTTGTGTGTTAGAAAGATTTTTATCAATATGGCGCATTAAAAGGCAATCTGAGGTCCAATGCATCCTCTAATCTTGTTTCAGAACCTGGTTTCCCTCTAGTTTGAGCTTTCTGGTTTTGAAAGCCGTGCATTTACAATGTGTTTTTACCCAAAGCTGTCCCAAAAGCTACCTTCTTATAAAGAAATAAATTTAAAAAAATTAACCATAGAGCGAAAAAATTATCCTCTGTTTTTATTTGATTTAAAATAAAACAAGATACCCATCACATATACTTTAATCATGGCAATGTTTATGAAGTCATAAAAGGTATGAAGTCTGTAAGTTTCATATTTCCATTTGCAAAGACTGTACATTGCACATTTTGTAATTAAGCTATTTTTGCTACATCCATATTATTTTTTATCTTTTCCTCCCCTAAAAAGAACACTGAAACTATGATTGTTTTGGCAAAAATAAACTCATTCATAATTGTTTTCTATTGCTCACTTTTGCTACCATGTACATCATAATATTTATTTTTATCTCATTAGATTTCCCAGCTAATGACATTGTGAAGTTTCTGGTGGGCTTCACTAACAAGGGTAGTGAAGACTTCATTGTTGAATCTTTGGATGCATCGTTCCGTTATCCTCAAGACTACCAGTTCTACATTCAGAATTTCACTGCCCTTCCTTTAAATACAATTGTTCCACCTCAGAAACAGGCCACTTTTGAATATTCGTTTATTCCAGCTGAACCAATGGGAGGGCGTCCCTTTGGGCTGGTCATCAATTTGAACTACAAAGATGCAAATGTAAGACTTGGTTGACTAATGCCTAGGAAGTTCAATGTGCCTTGATAATGCCATATTTATTAATAATGGGAAATATAGATATTTATGTATATCACTGTTATTGCAAATTATGCTCTGTTTGTGCTTTATTAGCAATCTGATTTAAAGAGGATGCATTGGAAAGGGCAGCAGTGATTTATTTTGTTTTGTTTTTCAACACAAAATGAAACTGTAGTTTCTTAGCCCTGTTCTCTGGGTTTGCCAAAAGACCAGGACTGGCTCCATGTAAATAAATAAAAGGGCACTCCACTGCCTAAATTAAAAAATAAATTAAAAAAAATCTGTTTAGTAGATATAAACCAAATGAAAACATGCATGTCTTTAACCCCTTAAGGACACGTGACATGTCATGATTCCCTTTTAATCCAGAAGTTTGGTCCTTAAGGGGTTAAAGGACCATTATGGTGACTAGAACTTCATCAAAATTAAGTTCTTGTAGTGCCAGGAGGTCTCTGGTTCACCTTAAGGGATTTAACCCCAAAGTATGCATTTCAGCGTCAAATCTCTCTCCTTCCGTTTTCTCAAAGTCTTTAAAATGTAAGGCACTTGCCGAATCAGGCAGCTGCGCAGCTTATTGGCGGAGAGCAATCAGCTGGCTTTCGGGCAATTGGTGACGCCCCATTCATAAAACTGGCTTGAAAAATATACGTTTCTTTTTAAGCTAGTTTTATGAATATGGAGTCACTGGTTGACTTAGAGTCAGCTGCCTGCTCTTAGCCAACCAGTAGCTTTGTTGGTCGATTCAGTAAGAACCTTTCAGTTTAAGACTTTCAGAAAATGTTGGGACAGGGAGGTAGGGAGGTTCGGTGCTGGAACACGGACTTTGGCATTAAACTGTTGAACAGTTTAACTCTTTAAGGTGAGCCAGTGCCAGGCACCTCCTGGCACAATAACTTTATTTTGTTGAAGTTATGGTGCCTGGAGTGTTTCTTTAATTATGCGTGTTTTTTTTCATTAGGGGTATATCTAAATACAGCTTACCTAAACTGCAGTTGCTGTCTTTGCAATACCTCCCTTTCTAACCCAACCCAGACTTTCTGTGGCTATCCGATTAGACTTCCCAATACAGCTCATTGAGGAGACTTGGCAAGACAGGAGCTCTGAATCAATGTGTGCCTCTTGATTTTAGCTTTGCTGAGCTAAACAACCAGGAATTAAAAGGACTTGTTTTCTTCTTGAAAGCCAGAGGGTGCGACAAAGTTTCATTTGTAAATCAGCACTTTTCATTGTAAAATAAAGAAGAAGTGCTCTACACACATGAAGCATTTCAGCAAGCTAGAGTACTTTAGGGGTCTGTGGTGTTCCTTTAAGTCATTTGAGCTGCCACAAACATAATGAATTTCTGGCCTATTGAAAAACACTGCCACAAGCCAGAATTTTTTTTTTTTTCTTATGGTTTATTTGTGAGTGTTTTAAGCATTTATTTTCTGTTTATGTAAATTTTGTGTCTAACTTAGGAGGACAAATAGGTTCAATGAAGTTTTTTGGATATAATCAGACTGTACTTAAGGATACTTTTCTTAGCTTTGTAAATGTGTTTTAAATAATTAAATGTCAGTGACTAAAACTTCACCCTTACTCTCATAGGGTAATACTTTCCAGGATGCCGTTTTCAACCAGACTGTTACCATTATTGAAAAAGAAGACGGTCTAGATGGGGAAACGTAAGTACTAAGATCCTTTTTATGAGTGATTATTAATCACAAAATGTATCTTTATGCAATTGTCTTCTCATTGAAGGAGAAGGAATTCTTACAATCCACAATACAAATCTTGATACTACCTTTTTAGTAAGAAATTAGAGTTAATTTCAGTTTTACTTTCTTTTTTCCCTATAGGATTTTCATGTACCTTTTCCTTGGTGGGCTTAGTTTGCTGGTAATTGTTGGATTGCACCAACTGTTGGAGTCCAGAAAGGTATGGAGCCCATTGTGTGATGGAATTATTTCTACATATCCCATCTCTGAATATTGCTTAATGATTTTTATTTATTTATTTTCGTCAATTTAGCTGAAAGCCTACCCCCTTCTCTATTGCCATTTGTAAGGTGCCATTTCTTTGGCTAAGATCCGTCTCTATCATCTCAGCCAATTTAATGCTTTCCATAGGAAAGCATTGGGAGGTCAGTCAGCTTGTGCGGCAGAATGCCATGCTGTGACAATCTGATTTGAAATGGCAAAGTTTTACTCTGCTATATGCCGAAAGGACCTTTGGTGGCTGTTGCAGATTTCAGTCTTTTATTTTTTATTTAGTATCTAGGATTCTTAGTTCTATTCAGTATTTCCTTTTGCAATATGCAAAATTCATAACTTACATGGGCAACTTCACCACATTCCAATAAACTTAAAATGTAATGGAAATTTACGCCATGCTGAACAATGAAGATAGCTCTGCGCGGGGTCTTCTGAACTCTATAAATCTCAAACTTACTCACAAATGAAATCAATGCATAAGATGCCCAGCTTCATCCAACAGTTAATGCCCAAATCTCTTCACCAGGCATAGCTTGTTTTATTTGCATGTAGGGTGGCATTATTGCATCCAGACTTTCTATAAATGTTGTTGTGAACATGATTATACAGTTTAAAAATTATTGCACATTTACAGCACAGTTTTACAGATGCAGTGATGGCTAGACTTTTCCAACATAGCTATTGCAGATTATTTTCACCATCATGATGTCTGAAGTAGTCTTCTGACTCTAGAGTAGCTGCAAAGTCATATTTGGCAGGTTCCTGTGATGGCTAGTAGCCTGTGCTGTCCTATGTTTGGCAAAAAAACATTTTGTTCCACTTTTGCCAAGGATACAAAGGACAATCTTTTTGCTGGTTTGTGTTATGTATGTATGTATGATTTTTTTTATTTTTTTTTAACATTGTTTTTCTCCTTTACAGAGGAAGAGGCCTGCACAAAAAGTAGAGATGGGTACATCTAATCAAAACGATGTAGATATGAGTTGGATTCCTGCTGAAACGTTGAGCCAAATCAGTAAGTATTCAGAACCTGTTTGAATTGCAAATTGATATTTAATGTGGCATTGTCCCAGGCAGACCTTGCGTTTGTTAGCTTGTTTTATTATTGTTAAATTTCTTGTCTTAGTTTCCATGTTTAACTATTGGGAGCAATGTCTTCCCCCTTGTTTCTTTCAATTTTTATTGGCATATCTTTGTTTCCATTATCAATCTTACTGCTGTCTGCTGTTCTCCTAATCTTTTTTGCGATTTCTTGTTTCCCCTCTTTCTTGCTGTTTCAGTGCAAAGTAGACGAGGTGAGGCACATTCTATTGTCTGTCTGAATGCTATTGTGGTGTTTTTGGTCTTGTGAAGTTGGATATGTTGGCTGCTTACCTTAATGTCATCTAAAACAAATCTGGAAATAAGATGCATAAAAAAGTTTTCAATCCTTTCATCCAGTGTAAAATTATAACCCATTACTTTGCCATCTTTTAGTTTATATAAATGCCACACTAGTCCCATGATAAATATGATGGCTCAGCTGTAATAACGTTTGAATCCTGCATAATCTTTATCCAGTAGGATCAATGTATGGGTTTGGAGTGACAAACCAAAATGGCTCAAAAATGTACATATGCAGTTAAGGTGAGCAGCCAGTTATTGCTCACTGTATTCAAATTTAGCTTTTGGGCAGCTATTACTAAAAAATAGCTACACGGTCACTAGATTTCCTTACAGTGAACATCTGCTGACTGCTCAGTTATATGTAGCCAAAGACAACTCTGACATATTTGAGGGGAAAAAAGAAAAAAACAACTTGCACACTTCCCCACCCTCCTCAGTATTTGTCCATTTTGTTTCATGCCCTTTTACAGGTTGATAAATCCTTTTTGTTAAAATAAAATTTGGTTAGAGACTTTGAAAATGTGCTCTAGGTTTTTGCTGCTCCCACTGAAGCCCATTCTTGTAAAAATGACCAATGTTTGTATTGCATGATTGTGTTAACTGGATGCTTGCTCATAGTGTAGTCTAGTACCTAGTGACACAGCATTGATTCAGTAACACTTTATTTTTATTTATTTCCTCCCTCTTTAGACAAAGCTTCACCAAGAAGGTCTCCACGTAAACGAGCCCAGAAAAGATCAGCAGGCTCTGATGAATAAACAGACTTTGTGCTCTGCAATTTATTCTGTCCACTAATCCCACCCTCCTGCTGCCCAAGGTGGATACTTCCCAATTCCATACTGGCAATGCTGAAAAGGGAAATAAGTCCCTATAAAACATTAAGACTGCAAAATAAATGTTTCTCATGGGGAAACGTCATTTTTATATATATATTTTTTTTTTTTTCTTTCAATCTGAGCACCCAGCCTAAAGCATCTAAACTTCATACACAGGTGCTGCTACATCTGGATATCCATAGTAGACATCAGAGTGGAGTCTTTACTTGCCTATCCAGATTGCATCTTGCATTCTATCACACCGACTGTTTAAATGAGCCACTTACTCAGATTTCGGTTTGGATGTAGAAGCACTGAGGGATTGTGTTGGCATGGCTGAAATAATTGTCACCCCAGGGACTTCTGCTTCTGTCTGAATCCACATGTTCAGTTATTTGAAATAGGTTTGTATTTTTTTTCCCCCTGCTGATGTGATGTGGAATTATATATTTTTATTTTTTGTGTATCCCAATGTGTTTTTTTGTTTGTTTTTTAACACCAGGGTAGTACTTATGAAATCTGTAACCTATGCTATATTTGAGGGTTCATCATAGTAGTTAAATAACATCCAGAGGCAAAGTGTGCTGATTGTGTTTTTTTTTTTTTTTTCCCAGAAGCTATTTTGGGGTTGGATGGGTGGGTTTGGTTAGGGATGTGTGGAATATGTGCAAAACGTTTTTAGATGTTTGTGCATTTTGAAGCCTAAAATAAGAAAGATACATGACTGCTTAGGAATGGGAACATTGATACAAAGACCTGGAAACTTTTTTTTGTAAAATGATAAAATGGCTTTAAAAAAAAAAAAAAAATGGTCTGCCTGCAAGTGTACAAAGGATTAAATTCTTAAATAAAAGTGGAAAACATTTTAAGCCCATTGTCTGTTATGATTTATTTTATATATATTTATCATTTTGAAGATGAGCACCTGTAATGCTATATATGAACATTTATGGTACATTCTTGCTTTGTGTAGTAAAATTCAAATTAACGGTTTTAAAGGATGTACGGTAGCCATAACCCATATTTAATCTACCAGAGGTCCAATAGTATTTAAAAGTATTTTGTCTTTCGTTTCATGTTAGTCTATGAAAAGGGGAAATAGGGAGAAAAATCATGTCTGCAGTTTAATGTCTGTTTCTTGATAATCCCACCCTCATCAGTAATTGGTAATAAACTGTATCCTAACATTTTAGGCAATTTGCAATGCCTTGATTTTATCGAATGAAGTGTAAATATAAATCTATTATCTTTGAGGCATCCAGTGTGTAGACAAAATTTATAAGTAGCAACAACAATGCATCATTCTGAAATATGGGATCAGGATTCAACAGTCAACCTGCTCAACAATACTTGGTCTTCAGTACATCTTACCCTCAGATTAAATTTAGAATACTGCATAACAGTTTATACAGTTTTTACTATAAATCTAAAAAAGTCAGTCATTATTTCTTTTTTAAATCCCCCTCCCAACTCCACTATATTTGACTGTCCCTCTAGTCACCCCAAATGTCCCTAGGTCCTCCATTTCAACTTTTATTTTATTTTTTTAAACTTTAAATTGTTCAAATAAAGTCCCCAAACCTCTAGTCACCCCCCCACCATAAAATAAAAACCTACCTACTAACAATAGTGAGGGGGAGCAATAAACTAACTTCCTTAATAGGAAAAAATACCATTTAGATGCTTTTTTTTTTTTTTTTTCAGCCCCACTCGGGTTGGCTTAAAGGGAAACTATAGTACCAGGAAAACAAAGTTTGGTTCCTGGAACTATAGCTCCCTACAGTGCACTTTGGGAGCACTTTTAGATTCGAGGGTGGGGTGTTTGTTTTTTATTTTTGTTGCATCCGTGAGCAGCCACAGGCTGTTCACTGTTTAGTACACATGCCCCTACTCACAGCCCTGTGAGTAGGGGCAGGAGGGAGATTTTATTCATTATTTACGAAGTAATTAATACTTGATATTGGTAAAGTTGGCTTAAAAAGTGGCAGTTACAGAATATTTCAAAACAGAGGTCAGAGGACTTTTCGTGGCCAAGACAAATACAGGAAGTTTCGTAGACCTTTCGGAGATCTAAAGAGAGAACTCTAACAAACAAGATGAGAGAAGGTATATTGACACCAGAAGAGAAGGTGGTTCCCTGAGATTCTTTGTTCAGCAATGGGAAGATACCACTTCAAATCAGTGGATATTGTATACAGTAGCAGAGGGTTACAGAATAAAGTTCTCGGAGAATCAAAGTCTGGAATTTCTGGTATCAACTTACCATTCAAGAGAAAAGTTAGAAGCTCTTCTAACAGAAGCTCTGACCCTTTTTAAAAAAGGTTCTTATAGAAAAGGTGCCAAAACAAGAGTTCCAGGGAGTGTACTCTTGCCTTTAGCTAGTTCAGAAGCCAGATAAAACATTCTGGACCTCAAGAGTCAATGCCTGTCTACCATACTAGAGGTTTTGCATGGAGAATATTTTATCAGTAACCCACTTCGTGCAACAGGCAGATTACATGGCAAAAATAGATCTAAAAGATGCTTTTCTCCATATACTGATGGATGTGAATTCAAGGAGATCTCAGATTCGCAGTAAAATCAGGCAAAAAGAAGCGGCTACATTTTCAGGTCAACTGTCATGTACCTAAACCATCAGGGCGGTACAAAGGTATATTCCCTCCAAATGCTATGTTCACAGATCATGACTTGGTCACAGGAAAATATGAAATCAATTTCAGCGACGTACATCAGAGGATCTGAAAACAGGCAGGCAACGCTGGACACAGTCAGAATGGTCTCTTCACCCTCTTGTATTTGTGAATCTAGTCAATTGTTTTGGTCTACCAGATATCAATCTGATGGCCACCAGAAAGTCCAGAAATTTCCATGGAAGATTTGGCATGGCATATCTTTTTCCCTCCAATCATGGATGTGTTTACTACGAGGCAAACAAGGCATTTGTCTTGGGCGGCAAGGGAGCACTAATCCTCCTGTTCAGCTCCCTCGTGCGCACCGTAGTGATGCCGGAGCCAGAATATGACGTCATTTCGGCCCTGGCATCACTATGCGACGCACGAGGGAGTTGTACCTGAGGATCAGTGCTCCCTTGCCGACTGCAGTCACCGGCTGGCTGCCCAGCAGCCCTACTGGACCCCAGGGAAAGTGATAATCCACCCCAGCATTCCCAAAGGTAAGGGATTGAATTTTAAAAAAAAAGTGAGTGTGTTAATGTGTGTCTGTCTGTTAGTGAATGTGTGTCTGACACTGAGTGTATTTGTGTATTTAGAAGGTGGAGGGAGGGCCTAAGTTTTGTCATGCCTAGGGCAGCACAAAACCAGGTTACACCACTGCCTCCAGTGGCATTGGTCTCCCGAATTGTTCAGAAAATAAGGTCAGACAGAGTCAGGATCTTGGCAATTTTCCTTTTCAGACAAACGGGAGCTGGTTCTCTGATATGGAACAGATGGCAATAGCTCATTGAGAACTCCCTTGTTCGAGCGACATTCTGGAAAACAGAGATCTTGCAGTAGAGACCATAGGGATGTTCTGATTGATGGCTTAATCTGCTACAAGGATGATCACTAGAGAACAAGGTGTTTCAGACCGCATTATTGATATTCTCCTGTCCTCCACTCGCAGATCTACTAACAAGATTTACCTGAGGATCTGGCATAAATTCCTGCAATGGTGTTCATCAATATTCCATCAATTCCATGCCTCCTTTCTTTTTTACAAGAAGATTTCTCTGCAGGTCTTAGTGTGTCTACACTCAAAGTGCAAGTTTCAGCCCTCAGGCGCTTCCTGATTCTAGATTTAGATTTTTAAGCTATTTTTCTTTTCCCACATGTGATTTGTCGGTAGTTCTCAAGGCAATGTGCAGTCCTCCTTTTGAACGATTAGATGTTATCCATTAAAAATGTTATCTCTCAAAACCGCATTTTTGATGGATATTACCTCGGCTAGGAGAGTTGGAGAATTCCAAGCACTGTCATCTTCCTCAGAATATATAGTTTTTCACCAGGATAAAGTGGTATTGCAGCCAAAGTCCTCTTTTCTACCTAAAGTTCTATCCAAACAAAACCTTAATCAACCTATCATTCTTCGTCTTTCTGCCAAGTTCAATCATCTGACGTTGAGAAGAATTTGCATTGACTGGATGTTAAAAGGGTTTTAGAAGTTTATCTCCTCCGATCAGCTCCTCACAGAAAATCTGTAAAGCTGCTATGTGGTCTTCCTTTCATACTTTTATAAAACATTACAGGCTGGATATATTCTCTTCCTCTGAAGCTGCCAATTTGTTTTGATAAAGGATTTTGCTATATCCCACTTGTAACAGTACTGTCACTTAAGACAGGAAAAACAGTAATTTTACTTACCGTAAATTCTATTTTCCTTAGTATAGTGGCATACTGCATGTTTCCCTCCCATTGAATATTAAACTTTTTTTGTAGTTGTATTGTCTCTGTATGGTTATTTAGATAACTGGGTGTGGTATGGAGGTATGGCCTTTTATAGGCAAGGAGGCGGGAATTATTTATTTTATTTGCAGAGCTTCTTGTCCATTTAAGGAGGTGACTACCCACTTGTAGCAGTACTACCACTATACTAAGGGAAATAGAATTTACGGTAAGTAAAATTACAGTTTTTTGCTGAAAAGAGACTTACGTCCATCCAGTTCAGCCTTCCTCACATTTGTTTTTTGCTGTTGATCCAAAAGAGGGCAAAAAAAGCACTTCCAATTTTGCAACAAGCTAGAAAAAAAATTCCTTCTTGACCCCAGAATGGCAGTCAGATTTATCCTTGGATCAAGCAGTTATTACCTTACATGGAAAGATTATATCCTTGAATATTCTGTTTGCAAGTATGCATCTAGTAGCTGTTTGAACATCTGTATGGACTCTGATAAAAACACTTCTTCAGGCTGAGAATTCCACATCCTTATTGTTCTTACAGTAAAAACAACCTTTCCTTTACTTCAGACGAAATCTACTTGAAGGTAAATGGCCATATCCTCTTAGATGAATGAGAGTTGGCAACTTTAATGAGGGGGGGGGGGAAAAAACCATTTGTGTTGGTTGTCGCTCTCAATAGGCTAAAACTGCACCTAGAAATTGTTCATTTTTTTATCAGTGTTTTTCACAGACTAACATTTGCATTAAAATTACTCTAGCAAGGTAAAGAAAGCTATTAGGGGAACACTATAGTCACCAGAACAGCTACAGCTTATTGAATTTGTTCTGGTGAGTAGAATCATTCCCTTCAGGCTTTTTGCTATAAACACTCTTTTCAGAGAAAATGCAGAGTTTACATTACAGCCTAGTGATAACTCCACTGGCCACTCCTCAAATGTCTACAAGAGGTGCTTCCTGGGGCAATTCTGCACAGTGTGCAGCACTGCCATTCAGTGTCTCCACCCTCTGCATCCAGACACTGAACTTTCTTCATAGAGCTGCATTGATTCAATACATTTCTATGAGGAGATACTGATTGGCCAGAGCTGTGTTTGACTTGTGCTGGCTTGTGATGATGATTATTATTATTTTATTATTTATATAGCGCCAGCAAAATTCCTTAGCACTATACAAATGCATCCTTGACAGTCTCAGCCAATCCTATGGGGAGCATTGTGATTGGCTCAGACCACCACTTATGATGTCAGCAGACAGGGGCAGAGGCAGCAACTGCAGACTTGAATGTTACTATATTTAAGGGGGAAGGTGGGCAAGGGGGTTAGATGGTGGTTATAACACTAAGGTCAGGAATACATGTTTGTGCTCCTGACTCTACAAATGGCATAGGCAACCTTCAGCACTCCAGATGTTTTGGACTACACCTCCCATGATGGTTTGCCAGCATTATGTGTGTACGGGCATTATGGGGGATGTAGTCTAC